TGCCGATAGGAGTCTTTCCGTAAGCGTCGTATTGGGCATCGCAGGTCATGTCGTTCAACGGCTTGCACTCGTTTCCAAGAGCCGAGCAGCCGGCAGCACCGGACTTGCCCGATGTGCCACCTGAGACTAAGTCTTCGAGGTTCTTCACCCAAGAGTTCTCGTGTTCTGCCCGTAAGACTTTCATTAGAATTGAAGTTCATGACAAGAAAGACCGTTGAACACTTTACCCCACTGAGACTTGATGAAGAGGTCAAGAGATGCTCCGGCGTAGGTATCTTCCCAGAGCTTGTCCGCGCCCTCGGGAGTTGTGAGATCCCATCCTTTGCACATGGCATCCTTGCTATCAAAGGCATCCCGCTTGACAGAGACACCAAGAGGCGAGGCATTGGAAGCAGCCACAAAGGCCAAAAGAGTGGCAGAAGTCTTCATGATTGGTGTTTGAACCGTGGCGTATCAGGATGATGAAAGAGGGAAAGCAAGGACTATCGTCCTGAGAAAGAGTGTGATGATTTGCTAGAAGCTTGAGGCGGTCCCGGTTTCTTGCAGTTGAGGATGAGGAGTAGCAACATCTTAATATAAATTGAAGAACGTTGACGTGAAAGGGACTTTGGTGGTGAGGTCACGACGGCTGCTGGAGTCTCGAACCAGGTAAGGCTGTTAGCCATAATCGCGATGCCTAGCAAATAGATTTCTGTCGAGATGAATTCTGGGGGCCGACGTCGATCGCACGTTGAAGGATCGAGCTTCTTTGGTACAGAATAGGATCTTTGGTAGGATCTTTGGTTCTGTGCCTAGCGAAGGATCCCCAACTTAGATTTTAACCGCCTAGAAAACCCATGTCAAAGTCTAAAATCAAGCCACGGCTACTTTATTGAGACCGTTGGTAAGGGAGGGCACTGCCTTTGAGAGAGGCCATCAATGCAACCCGTAAGCACCAAGAGGTCCCATAAGCTAATTTCAAAGACGTGAAACATGTCAGCTTTGCTCCACCATCGTGGGGGCTATTCGAGGAACCCTTTAGCTGTGTTCTCAAGGCAGTCAAAACAAGGAACTTTGGGATGTTTGTATGGGGGCTCCTCATTGTTGCCTGCCACTGCCGAGATTTAGTCGCAGGGCACAATAGGGTCTGATCGACAGGAACGCTCTCTTGGCGACGGGAGGCGGCAACTGGACAGGCGAGCTTTTATTCCCCGAGCTCCTTGCGGACCCCAGCACGACCTTTTTTAGTGCTGTTGTCTCCTGACGTCGTGCATGAGGAACGCTCCGCATTATTAGGCAGCTCAGAAGAGAGTACCTAACATTAATTACCGAGCCAGCCGTGTGAGTGAAATCGATAGGCTCGATGTCAAGGACAGTATTGATTCACTTTCTACGCCGTCTAGCCCCTAATAGCTCTGCGAAGGTGCGGCAGTATGGTAGCCAGAGTCAGTGCGACTTAGACGCGGGCGTCAGATGAGCTAGGGCCAAAATGTTGGCTAGAAGGATCAAAGACGCGCGCCTAACCCTGTCACCACGAATCAAGGAATCGAGTAAGCATAAGGAACTGGGTTGCATGCGAGTTGTCCGCATCAAATCTTTGGGTCGACACTAAAGACGCGAAAGACTGAACCACACAGATCTATTCCAGTGAGCATCTCTTTACCCTCCCCCAGCTGACTCTCGGGACTGGCCTACCCGGTTGAGGACTGTGATCCAGACGCCAGACAGACGCCCCTCAGATGACTGATAAAGTAAACGACACGCTCTTTTAGACATAAATGCCGCGCTTAGAGCACCTCTTTTGCGCTTTCAAATGGGACTTCAGTTGACAGTCGGATTGCCATCGACCAAGCCTCGTTTCCGGACCAGAACATCGGACTGGCCCCCCTTGCCCGAGCGGCCGCCGGGTCTGTGGAAAGTGGGGCCGATCACAAATATCGGCGACAGTCTGGCCTGTAATGATAAGAAGGCATCCACATTGACCTGAGTAGAGGGCAACACACCTTATTGACGATCTCGTTCCAGCAGTCAAGCATGACCTACATGAAGACGGATTGTATGCACCTTATGTTCCACAGCTGGTCAACACGTTAGGAGAGGGAAGTTCACAAGTGCTAGCAGAGCACACGTGAAATCAACTTCGCTTGGGATAAAATGAGCTAAAAACATGGCACTTGACGCCACGATCCATTCCATGCACTATTTAAGACTACCTTCTAATACTCTCCACCAATAGATGAGATGTCTAGACCTTCACCCTCTCCAGCGGCACACTTGAAGCCAGGGGCAATCGGCTGCGGCGCAGTCAACTCGCCGCCAGTGCAAGTAGCGAAGTGTGTTTCATCCTCCAAGCAGGTCAAGTAGCCTTCAGTGCAAGATTCGGGGTCAGAATCAGAGTCGGAGTCGGAGTCGGAGTCGGGATCAGGTGTGGGTGAATCAGGCGAGGATGTAGGGACGGCGGTGGGCTCAGATACGGGCGCACCGGGAGTGGCCAATGCTCCACAGTCGGTGGCGGTAATTGTGACCGTGATGAAAAAGATAAACGGAGTCGGAACGATGTCGGTAGGGACTGGGGTCTCGATGGGAGAAATCATAGAAGCCGTCGGAGCTGGTTGGATAGAAGATTCGGCCGGAGAAGTTGGTGTAACAGGGACAGTAGGCTCGACGAGAGCGGTAGTGTCGGCAGGTGTAGGAGCCGGCTCCTGTGTCGAAATGACGGAAGAGGCAATGGCGGAGGAGCCAGTTGCGACCGATGGCGAAAGAGATGAGCCGTCGACAATGCTGGAGGTCGGAACAGACGTAGCAATGCTACCGGCAGGCACATCGCCGCCAGCCGGAGCCTCAACAGGGGCTCCGGCATTAGGGTTACCGTCACAGGGCTGCTTGTAGAGATTGTCGCCCTCGGGTCGATCGAAGTAGAGGCCGCGGTTGGGAAAAGCGATGGGAACCTGGGCGTTGAGAGCCTCTCCGGTGGTGCAGCCGCCAGCGACTTCTCCAATGTTAGCCATGAAGAGCTCAGGAAACTCTTCACGCTTCGCCAGGGACATGCGACGATCAGCAATGGGTCCACGCTTCTTCTTCGTAGCACCACCAGCGCCACCAGTGACGGTGATGGGGGCACAGTTCATGTAGTACTCCGGCTGGCCGCCAACTCTGGCGAGCCAGATCCAGGCAAAGACGTAGTCGCCGGGTGCGATGCTGGAGGGGATCTTGAAGGGGTACTTATCTTCGTTGGGACCTTCGAGGTTACCCTTTTGGTTGCGGGCCGGGCAGCCGCCCTCGATAGAGTGGATGACCATCCACTTGGAATTCTTTGTCGGGTTAGCGTCGGCACTGAGGGCGAACTGGCAGCTGCCGCCTCCGTGGACAGCCTGGCCCTTGAAGGTGGCCTCGAAGGTCTCGCCAATGGCAATGACTGTAGGTGCTCCGTCGATGATGTAACTTGCACCAGAGGGGATCTTGCATGGGAAGTCATCACCTGTGCTAGAAATCGGGTTAGTAGGACCGTCAGCAACAAACTTGAAGGGCTTGGGATTCTCGAGGACAACGTGTCCAAACGTCGTCGATGCCAGCATCGAAGCGAGAAGAAAAAATTGGTTCATGTTGGAAAGCATCGTGGGCTTTCTTGTTCGAGGAAAAGGATTGTGAGAGAAAAGATAATGTGCCGAGAAAAGAGTGGCTAGGAAGTTGGCTGAAGTCGTAGAAAGAAAAGAAAATCTCGAGGTGTCGAGGGAAACGTTTCGAGCTGGGGTGAATTGGCGAGTTGTGATTCAGGGAAGAATACCCTGGATATATGTATTCGCCGCAATTAGTGGAGTGGCCCTCTGTCAAGTAACAATGTACTAGTGTTCAAAGAATTCTAGACGTTGAACAGGCTCCGTCGTTTGTTGCACAACTGCTCAGATCCTTTTTCTTCAGCTTTGTCCATTCCCATTTGGAACTTCGGACTTGTGTGCACAGAACATCAGATCTGCCGTAAACGTCGCTATTCTGTGGGGAACAAAGGATGTGGCTTCGTCTAAGAGAAGTTGCTACGTTAACAGCTCTTTAGTCTCAGTTTCAGTCAGGTCAAGTGCATCGATCATGTGACAAAGGTCTGCAGAGTGGTAATCGAATTGCCTTCCAGTTCGGAAGCTCCCTTTTTCGAAGCAACAATAACCACTCAGATAAAGTTGGCAAAAAATCAAGTGCTTCCTGAACATCGCTGAAGCTATTCGCACGTTCTTAGAAATCCGGTGCAACATGAGTTGACTTGGAGGATGAGCCGACTCAGACGGTTGATTTTCGACGTAGAAGAGCCCAGCGCCGTCGAGATATTCGAAGACGGGTACAGGTATTTGCCGAATCAACATCAGCGGAAACTTCATTGCGCCGTTCAATTTATACGAAGCAAGCCGAATACGAACAGTCTTACACACTACTTGCTCTAACTTTTGCACCTGGGTGGTAAGCTCGTCCCTCAGTACCTATCGAAAAGGGACGGGTGACTCGTACAGACTATCTCACATGATGCCCGAGTATGACCACAACTATCAGATAGAAAACGCAAATTCACAAATTTGACGCGATACTCGAGATGCAAATATTTGATAAGATGCACCCATGCTCCTACAGAGTAACCTAACGAACATGTCAGCAGCAAGATAACATATAACACGTTGATCTAGTTGTCTGTCATGTTCGCCAACGACCGTTCTCAGCTGCCAAGACTGTGTGTGAGACCAACATACGCGACAAGGCAGCCATGTAGCCTTTCCTCATGTGCATGCAGGCAGCCGGGGTGCGTTACAGCCTGTCTTAGATTGCGGACCAGCGATGCTTCCAACATTGCGGCTCAGCGTCGCGTCGAACAGCTGAGGAATGATCCGCCCACCAAACAGTTCCTTCTTCCCAAGTCAGCTCTTGCCCAACGTTGTTCCCCCTTTCACCGAGTTTTATTCGAAAGGCTTCACCTCCGTCAAGTTGGGGCGCACTGAACTTGGAACGCGAATAGGTGTGCCATCCGAACAAAGCCGCGCATCATGCCTGATATCTTACACGACTCCAACTTCACCGAAGGAGCCAGTTTCGACAGTGGCACCACGAATGCCGCATCTCCCGCGTCGGATGACCCGAATAACGACCCGGCGGAGAGCCTTATTAGCGAAGGCAGCCGCGACAAGAAGGCCGCATCCGCTCCCACAGAGACACATAGCATTAGGAAGAGAGACTCCGCTGGCGCAATCCAGCAGTTTCTTCTCGATGTTCTTCTCATAATCCCGTCCCTATGCTTCATCATTTACGGCATGATGGCTCTCAAACACAACAACTGGCCGATCGACGCGGGAATGGTTCCAACCTTACGTATGGCCGCGACGTACAGCCCGACTGTCTTCCCCATCGTTTTTGCCGCTGTTGCCGCCAATCTGCTCAAGTCTGCGGCCGGTTGGAAGATGGAACGTGGCGTCTCGATTCTCAGTCTAGAGTACCTCCTCAGCTGCCGCACAGTCTCCAGTGCGGTTACAACGCCGCTTTCTCTACGACGTGTGAACATCCTGTCACCACTCCTCATAGCACTCTGGGCTATGTCTCCTCTCGGAGGACAAGCAGCTCTACGTATCATCGATGTGGTACCGTCTCAAGCATCAGAACCGTACCCGTTTGAGAACCTTGAGTTCATGTCCGTGTTTCCACACTCAGGAGCCCAGAGTTCGGCCGGTTTCAGCACAATGCCCTCCATTCAAGGAGCCTTTATCTCGGCCTTGTCTTTCCCCGAGGACATCAAAACAAGACCTCGAGATGCCTTCGGCAACGTCAAGATCCCCATGCTCGAATATTATCCGCCAACAGCGGCAGCCGATGCCTACGGCTGGTACGATGTCAGCCTCGACGGTGCCGATACGACTTGGTCAGCGATTATGGGAATTCCCATTGCGACTCAAGGTGGCTTCTCCCAGGGACATAACTACTCTTTCACCTTTGAGACGGCCTATATGAATGCAGACTGTTCAGTCCAGCGTGGAGCATCAATGTCCCTTGTAGGCTGGTTCGCATACAAGAACAAAACACTTGGGCGAGAAGCAGCCTACACTACCGGCAGGACTTTACTCATTAAATCCGACGGATTCCACGGCCTCTTTAGCAAGGAACCTAGAAAGTTGATATTCACTTCCTACTATCCCCAAGACAGCATAACGACTAATGCTACATGTACACTTACAACGACGCATGCCAAAGTCGACGTGGCTTGTACTGGAGATCTCTGTGGCGCCCGTCGTGTTAGACGGATTGAGAAGCCAGACAATATGACAGTTACGACAGTATTGGATGGTGCCATTGCGGAAGGATCCCAGAAAATGGCACCGGCAGGAGTTTTTGACTTATTCATGACAACGTTCATGCGAGTCACCTTGACAACATGGGAGGCGGAGAATGGCGCATGGTACAAACCATACCCTTCACCTTTGGAAACCTACTTCACCCACCCGGCCGCCCCTTTTTCCGCACCGGGCATCGGCTCTTACAATGGAACTGATATTTACGAGGTAGGAGATGCAGTATTTTCACAGCGATTCTCCCAGCTGCTCAACACCTTCTGGCTTGCCTCCGTGGCGTCACGCAACATCACCGGCGACTTCAACTTCCAGGTACATACCCTCAACCGGGAAATCGAAAACACGATTGTTCAGAATACCACGGGTATGAGAACACCGGATGAGTTAGTAGTGCGTGTCAGCGGACTCTGGATTTCAATTCTATTCATCGCATCGACAGTTATGCTGGCTTCGGGTGTTGCAGCTAGCATCTTCAGTTGTCTCAGACGAGGACCTGACGTACTGGATCGAGCCACGTACTTCTTGAGAGATAGCCCGCACGTGAACATAGCCCAACAGAGCTCACTGGAGGATGGTACCAGTCAGGTCAAAAGGATCAAAGGAGTGCGAGTTTGCATCGGCGATGTCAGACCTTCGGAGGAAACTGGGTATGTCGCATTTGGAACGGTTGGAGAAGCCATGCCCTTGAGGTGGCAGGAAAAGGAAAGGCGTTACGCTTGAGCTTTAGGCGGGGGGCATGAGCTGTTTTGGAATGCTGTGGGATATCAGATGTCTTTCAAATCCAAGGACAACGAACACAGTCACACTGTGTGATTGATCTGTTCCGTTCGTGGTCGTTTGTCTTAATCTGTCGACCGTTCCTGTTCCTAATTCTGGTCCCAGTAAAGCGTCACCCTCAAAACACTCCCCAAGCTCATACACCTTGGGGGCCTTGACGTCTATTCCCTAGTTTAGTAGTCCCGTCTTGTCATCAAGGGAAACTTTTCGAGGATCACGATGGACATCTTTAGGATGGTCGTAAAAGGACATGGTATAGGTATTCATAATGAGCACAGCGCTCAAACAATGGACGACCTATGGCAAAAGGGCAATTTACTGTCCGGTGTCCCCCGATTGATATGGCCAGAATCTAGTCCTTGACAGCTTCAGTCGGCAGTTTTGAGCAGAGGATTTACGAGAGAGCACTCGACTAGCTAGTCTAGCCATCGAATAAGATTCCACGAGCCCAATGGAATAATAGAATCTCGCCATGCTAGGGCCACGTGCAATCCAGCCACCACTAGGCCGCTCGGATGCTCCGTGTTAGCTGCATCCCATAAGTTGACATCAAAACGGTTTAACGCATCTAGGTGCTTGCGCGTGATGCACATCGTGCCCTCTCATCCTTGGTGCCCAAAGACGATTGCACTTGTTAGAACCTCGTTTCTAGATCTCCAATTTGCTCTGCACTAGCCTCGAGTTTGGCGTTCCTCCCTGTCGTGGACCAACTCAGAACCCCCACCCCCTCGTCGGAGAGATGAGTCCGTCGTCGTTACACCAAGCCTTATTCGGACTTCCGGGCTAAATTGTGATCGAGATCTCGTACGTTTGAATAATGAAGGCTGCTTCCAGGTAAAAGCGTGTGAATAAGAGTAGTTGCGGCCTTCTTGCAGTATACAAGGTATCGAGATCTTCTAGATTTCGGCGTCACCTCGGAACTGTGAGCACAAGCTATCAAGAACAGGTCAACGCAGCATGACAATGAGCACACAAATACACATATCCTCCTGAGAATGGTCAATGGACGTGGATGTTACTTCAGCCGCCTCGGAAAACAAAAATGAAACCTTTCTTTCGACTAGATAAGTACTGTAGCTGCTTAACCTGGAGTGGGTATTATCTCAGAGCGGCTGTCGATCCAACCTCACCTTCAGCCACCGGACCAGCCACAGTTGCAGCACGAGTTTGTGCGCTACATACCTATACGTAGACACCGGCTAGCAACTCTCGAACTTGCCGGCTCAAAAGTAGGGAGATGCAATGATTTCGTCATTTGGGGATTCAATTTCAGAGCCTCCCAGAATGGACTCGTTCTAAGACACTAAGGCTTTCATTTGGGTGGAGACTGTTGCGGTCACAGAGACGCAACATAGGTACTTCTCACAACAGCTTCTACAGCAATGTAGCTATTCATTCTTGGGAGACATGATTGGTACGGATCATAGTTTCCAGAGCTTGTGTAGACTATTCAACCCAATGCGTTGTAGTAGTAGACGCCAGTGGTCTGCAAAGAGACACGGGAGGCAAACGCATCGCTGATCTACCCCCGATGCTGCCGAGGGAAATGCTGATGACCAAAGTTTGCTTGCCTTCAACTTGACTTCTAACGGATCCTGCTCCGCTTCTCACTCCTTGCCTAATAGGTATGCAATGCGAATGCTCATCATTGCAATTCTCGGAGAATTCCCTTACCGCAAAAGCCAATTTGGGAACCTTGACACGCGCAAATGGCCAAAATATTGACAGGTCAACTGCTCTAAGCTTTGTTGACTCTCGATTATTCGCTGTACCCCGCGATCGTTGTGAGGAATTCCCACAGTACTATCCATTTCCGACGACGCGGGCCATAGCCGCATCCATAATGACGCCGTACATCTGGAGCTACCCAAGCCTAGCGCAAGACTAGTCAAGACACACCTGTCTGCGCCACCACGCCGGGATTCCTGAGAACTGAGATCAAGCCTTCTTCCGTCGAACGGGGCCCAACGGATCGCACTAATGAGGCTTAACTCACAGGACTCATTCCTCCGATAACATTGGATGTTATCCACCGCTAGGCGCCATGCCAAGATTGTCCAGCTCAGTCGTTCCTCACCCTCGTCAGTGGCAGAATAGTAGCTCCGAATTTCAGCTTCCCCAGATGGTCCGATTCAACGTTTAGCTCTTCGGCACAAACCTTGAGGCGTTTGGTTTCGATGAGTCCAGGCTCATCATGATCTCTGAATGACGTGTTGCATCGGATTCCCTAGCTTTGGCCGCTTTGGACGGGAATTCCAGTCGCCGATGGAGAATGAATTCGAGATTCAGCGAATCTCTACGCGGCATTAGTACAAGGACAGCTGAAGTTCAATTTCCTATGACGTTTCTGTTCCTTTGGTGAGGGACTGTGCGATTTTCAGATGCTTCTTCGATGCCTGAAGGTTAGTGAATATTGGTCAACTTGAGCCTATATATAATGTAACTTCATCATCCCTAAAACCCTCTTGCGATACAATTCAATCACAACAACTCAACCAATAATCACCTAACACAAATAACAACCGCAATCATGGACAGAGCCAAGCAAGCCGTTTCTAGCTTCATCTCCAAGGACGGTCACCACAAGACCAGTGTCGATGAAGATGTCAACAGAGCTGTGACCGAGGAGCAAATCCGTCCCCATCGCCATGAGGAAGTTACCACAGCTGTCGACAAGGAGGTTCACCAAGATCACCACCATACTACCATTCAGCCTGTTAAGCACCAGGAGACTCTGTAAGCAATTCTATCTACATTGTGTAAAGCCTTCCAACTGATTGTCTCAATTCCCAGCCCCGAGAAGCACCACCACAACATCGTTCCGGTTGCACACAAGACTTTCGACCACGGAAACGAGAGAGAAACCAAGGACACTCTCGACCGGGAACACGCAAAGTTCAAGGACACTTCTACTACACACGAGACCACTCACACTTCGACCACTGCCCCCGCGGTCACTGGTGAGAGAGTGCACCACCATATCCATGAGCACATTCAGCCTGTTATTCAGAAGGATACTATCCAGCCTCATATTGTCCACACCACTATTCCCATTCACGAGACACACCACGCCAAGCCTATCCACCACGAGGCTACCACTCTCCCTGTAAAGACTCTCGAAGAGTTCACCAGGGAGAAGGGAAGTCTCACGGACGGCCCTCGTCACCACCGCTACGACGAGTTTGAGGGTTGCCCCGACAAGTATCACAAGGATCTCGGCAACACTCACCAGTCAGGAATTGGTCATAGCCATGACCACAGCCATGGGGCCGGTAAGGCAGCCGTCGGCACTGCCGCCGCTGGCGGTGCTGCAGTTGCCGCTCACAAGCACCACGAGCACAAGAACGAGCAAGAGCGTGGCCTTGACAGCCATCACCACTCTGGCCCCGGCAAGGGCACCACTGCTGCTGGCACCGCTGCCGCAGGAGGAGCTGCATTGGCTGCCCACAAGCACCACAACAACGAGACTGCCACCCACGGCGTGAACGACCGCGGCCTCGGCCACACCGGTCTCGAGAGCCAACGTGTCAACCAGCACAACACTCACCCCGGATCCGGGGCTGCTACCGCTGCTGCCGGCGCTGCCGCCGCCGGTGCTGCCACCCATCACGGCCACAACAACACCACCGGCACTCACAACCCCCTCGGCTCCCACAGCACCACTGGTACGCACGGCACCGACAGCCTTGCTGCTGCTCAGGCTGCTAACACTCGTGCCAACAACACACCCGGAACTGGCAACCTGTCCCACAACCAGACTACTGGCCGCGATAATATCGCCCACAACCAAACTGTAGGTGACAAATCCATCAGCACCGCCCAAGGTATCATGCACGGGACTCACCCTACCGGTACCCAGACTTCTGGTAGCAATTACACCACTTCTGGCAGCCCTACCACTGCAACTCACGGTAGCTCAGGCCTGAACAAATCTGAGGTAAGTCTAGCGTCAAATCATATCACTGCTCACAGCATTTTAACCATGTGTTAAGCCTCGCTTCGGCTCAACTGGCACTAGCACGAGCCACAGCGGTGCTGGCAAAGCCTCAACCACTGACCACGCCACGCATGACACCACTGGAAAGAAGATCTCGCTTGTTGACAAGCTGAACCCCTTCAAGGATGCTGATGGTGATGGACACAAGGGCATTATGAGCTAAATGCATAAGGATATCCTGAGCGTTTCTTTAGTTAGTCATATGCATTAATAGGTTTGATCATAATGATACAATGGTTGTTTGCATCTTAAAACTTCGGCCCAGTGCATCCAACAATTATGCAGTTTCTTCTGGTGTTCTTGCCCTTTCTGGCCCCAATCCGAGTTCTCCGCGCCTATGTTCCATCTTTTGAATACTGCTCTTCGTTAGCTTAACAATACGCCCCTTGGTAATCTTCTTCAACATGAACTGAATCTTCGGCCCTGGGTTGCATCGGGTAGTATGTCCATCATGGAAGCATATGTCGTTAGCAATGCCCCGGATGCGATCCACATAGCTCGCTACAGCTTCCATCCGTTCACACTTCACTTCCAACCCAACACCACCACTTGCGTCGCCCATACCTCTCATCAAACTGCCTAGGATAATGAAGTTGCAATGCTTCCTGTCCTCACAGGTGGCTCTCTTATCAACACAGCACCCGTCGTTGAACATGAGTTCTCTGATGACGGAGTTAATTTGGAGTGGCAGGGTGTTGATGATGTCTTCTCGCTGTCTGTGGAGAATCTCTACAGACTCCTGTTAGCAATCCCCTCAAGCACGGCAGCAGATCCAAGGGGTACAGCAGGCATGGATGTTACCAAGTAGACCGGGTGGGCCGATAGGACCAACGTCATCCAACAACACCTTCTGGCTGACCATGCGTTCGTCTTCGCTGAGCGAGGAATACATGATCAATTCCTTGACCATCTGCCTATGCAGCTCAACCTGCCCCAACTCCCACGC